GATCTGTAACCAGGAACTCTGACCACTAGACCACAGAGGGGGGTCGAAGCACAGGGACAACTTTGCCTTTTTACCTTAACACGGAAATTACGTATTGTTCATATAAATTTATATTAACTCTTTCTGAAATATCATTCCCTCACGATGAATATTTAACGAGTAGTCCCTGATATAAAAGTTTTTTGTTAAAATCGGACAAAAAACGGTCACTTTACAAAATCTAAACTTCAACCCTGAAAATGGAGGCTATATATTCCTCCGAAACTTCATTTGACTTTTACCTGACCACACGGCATTTTACCTCGGTAGATGGAATTATCCATGGTAACTACTGTGAGAACCATACCTCTAACGTAGATGGTAAAATATTTTCACGTATAATTTTTAATTCTTAGGCGTTATTTACGAACTATAGACGAAAGAACATCTTTTTCGAGGTTACATCCCTTTGTCTGTCTACGACCAAGTCTCAGCCTCTATATCGCATGGTGGATTTTCTATAAATTCGATACGGGAAACTTTAACTAAAAGTTCTTGGCCACATTTTATTTGCAGCCTATGATTCGTGCTAAATCCTGCAGAACACAAAGCCGCAAATGAGCTTCTCGGGTCCCGCATAAACCGATTCACAGATACTGTTAAAATTCGATGTGGGAAATTTCTACCGAACGTCATCAGATAATTCCAACTTACAGCCATACTGACCCACAATAAACGGGGCCATATGTGGGCATCTTTGTCGGGGAATTCCGATTTTGAACCTTATTCAATCACAGTAAAGCCTAGTTTACTTTTCCGCGTATCCTATCAAAACTTCATCATATTCTGTTGAATGTTGATAGAGCAATTTTTCACTAATTTGAATTACAGTATTCCAATTTTTAAGTAAATTTAATAAACTTCAAATAATTTCTTTGACATTTTTGCATATACTGCTTTATGTGGTACAGTATTTCCGATTTTGCTTTTCACAACGTTTTTGAAAACAGATTTTACTCCGGTCATGATAGCCGAGCGGTCTAAGGCATGTACTGTCTTCGCTCGCTAGGAAGCCGGGGTCCTGGATTCGAATCCCACACAAGCTGTGGATGTTTGGTATGCGTATGTGTTTGCGTTGTCCTGAGTTTAGGTAGAGGCCTTGCGACGAGCTCATTACTCGTTCAAGGAGTCCTACTGTATGTAAAATGATCATGAAACCTAAAATCAGAGACCATGGTCCAAGGGGGCTGTAGAGCCAGTGAAATAAAGAAACTTCTTAATGACTTACTTATGAAATGTAATTTTCATACTTGCTCAATTTCAGCTAAAAATTGCAATTCTGAGATACATTTAAACAAACGTAAATACATCAAGTTGTTTGAAAACCTGTTCAGAAGTTGCTATATAGACTGACTAATGAAGGGGTTGTAGGAGAGTTTCTCTTGTGCTCCGTGAGACAGCAAACACGTCCTTACAGAAATCGTAACAGCTTTTTCTTCTTAAAGTATTTGTCGCGAAGTGACCCGGCACGCGCTTGTACATAATGTGCCACCCCCTTGTCGTTCTACACATGTCGGGACGCCAAACCTCGAGGACGCTTCGATCGATGATCGCCGTAGCTCGTCAGACTTTGCAGTTTCGGGATAGACACGCTCATTTAAGTGCTACAATTGTATTGTGCTTGAGTCCTTTCCTCATCCTAAGGCATTCTGATCTATTTACAGCCTCTTTTGTTTATCTGGTTATAACTCGCATCTCTTGTCAGACTCCTGAATATTAGGCACGATTCATTACAGTCTGAGACACGCTAAACTGTCCATCACATGGCGTACACGAGACATGATGATATTACTACAACGTCTGGCGTGGAGAGAATCCCACCACCGATATTTTATTAATTTTTTTTTTAAGTTTAGCTTTTATATTTCCTTTTATTTGTTTATGTGTCATCAGTCTCGACTATCTAACGGAGCTGAATCAGCATCAATCAATGAATGAATCCAATCGGCTGCTTATTGGCAATGTGTTTCTATAATGATAAACAGGAATGTAGGCTGACGTTCATGTTACGATATTAATATTTAAATTTCAGGAAACCCACATTGGTCCAACGCACTGCCAGCTCGTAGTTCAAGACCGAGATGGAATTATGGATGGAATGAAATTCACGGTGAAGGAAATGGTAAGCACAACCACAAATCTTTATATAGAATCCTTCCAGGGTGTTCCATGCTGCTGAAATTAACATTATAGTTTGTACGAACGTTAATTTGCAAGTCATCTTTCCCTGCTGTCCGAAAAATCTAAATTCTTGTGAAAAGAGTGCCAAATTACTCAGTTTTTGATTACCATATACCACGTACGTAGATGTTTTGTTGAAATGATAAAAGTATAGGCTCTATGACTGGTCACGAACCAGCGAGTAGTCTTTCGATTTAGTGTTATTTCTTTGTCTTGTGGGTGTTACAGTTTAAATGCGGATATGTAGAGCCACAGCCTTATTAGTCATGGAATATGAGTTGGTTTACAAAGTAGTGGAATATTTTTTCTTTTCAAAACAAGTTACTGGATGTCCATATAGACCAGCCAATAAAATATTCCGACAGCTTTTTTCTTGAAACAACAAGGATGCTTTTTTAAGTTGGTTATTTAACGACGCTGTCGCTATCGCGACCATACACCGACGATGTTACGATGAGTACTGAATATGGAGCTGGTGGAATGAAAATTGGCAAGGAAAATCGAAATACTAGAAGAAAACCTGCCCCAGGACCACTTTGTCCACCACAAATCCTACATGACTTGGGATCAAACTCGGAACGATCCCTCTATCTCTTCATGAACTAAGAAGCTAAATCCATGGAGTTGAGTTTTTCATGAGAAGTCAACAGTTCCTCAGACACTCAAACATTAACATTTTATAGAACCCAAATGTTGGTTGGTTGGTTTCCAGTGGCTGCATTTGGGATCATTTAACACATTTTGCTTCTTGCTTCCCAGTAGAGAGCACTCAAGTTCTTGCTTTGTTGCATCTTGAAGAAGTTTGCACTTTTCTTTTGGGAAGCTTTTCCAGGTTTGGTGCTCATTTGCACTACCCAGGGGACACGTGTGACTTAGAGAATGTTACGGACGGCAGCAACTTTGTCCCCCTAGAACCCAAAGATTTATTATCGCATTCACAACAGCCTGCCGGTAATGGTTATTTTGAGTCAGATAAATCAATTTCACGTCCGTCATCCTATTTGTCTAAGATTAATCTCATTTTATCCTCCAATTTACGTCTAGGTCTTCATAGAGGTTTTTTCTTCAGAATTTCCTAACAAATACCTGCATGCACGTCTCCTCTCTTCTATGCGTGCTACATTCCCTTACCACAAACCCCCACCTTAATTTGATCGTTCTAATTATATACAAAGCAGAGTATAAGTTTTTTATTGCTAGTGGGGTGGGACTAATTCCCTTGTACTGCGGCCACTTCTGGCCTATTGTACCAGCCGCAGATGACAGGTGAGGGTGATTGTGGAGCAATTGGAGGAATGAAGGTTGGCAGGGGAAACCGAAGTACTCGGAGAAAACCTGCCCCAGCGCCACTTTGTCCACCACAAATCCCACTTGACCAGACCCGGGATCGAAACCTGGCCTCCGCGGTGGGAAGAGTATAAGTTAGGAAGCTTTTCAGTACGCTTCCGAATTATTTCATGTCCCGTAGGTCGAAATTTATTCCTCAGCGCCCTATTCTCAAGTGCCCACAATACATTTTTGTTTGAGAGACCGAGAGTCACAACCCCACAGAAACTTATGTGTACTAATATTTAATCTTTATGACCTCAGAGAGCAGACGAGAAGAAAAGAAAAGTGTGAACTGAGTGGTAGCAAGTATTCCCGAATTTAATCTGATATTTAATTCCTCATATACCGAATTTTGTTTTGTATCTGTCGCCCTCCTTCTGTAATTCCAAGCTTGTTCAGTAGCCAAATAATATAATAGGTTTGGCGCAGGCCTAACCTTATTAACCATTTAGGTAGTATTCGGAAACAGAGAGAAACAAGCTCTATTCATGCTTCAGATTCAAGTGAACAGTGTCTTTTTTGTCTACACTTAGATAAGTTTAACTGTTCAGAATTGCTTTACTGCTGTGGTCAATATTTTAATTCCTTGGCATAAAATTATCGTGAGCAAAATCAGTGACAGTTTTCACATGTTTCATCTGACGCAGTGCTAGGGATTTATGAATTAACTGGCATTGTTATTGCCTAAACTGTATGAATTCTATTGTCATATATTACAACAATATTTGTCCTTCACTCTTTTCTCCAAAGAATTCCACTCTTATGTTCGTACGAATTTAATCACGAATAACTTTCCTGGAACTAGACAGGCCATATGATCTACGTATCCTGCATTATAATTTTGATTTCCCGTTCCTTTTAATTGACTTTCTTGCAGCAGAAGAAATTGTTTTTTCCGTTTCAACTCAGATTGTTGTGAATCGTTATTCGGAAATAACATCTGGTTCATGGATATGTACCTGATTGCTGAACTGGCATCTCAGCAACAAAGTTACACCTCTAATGAATGAAGAACAAAACATCGTGTGAATGGATACACTTCTGAAAGTCAAATGGGCAAATGTACGCTCCGTACGCTCTGACTTCTAGCACACCTAAATGCTTCTTTTAAGTAATCAGTTAACTATTATAACACCAGATGGTGCTGATTCTTAGGCACATGCAGCCAGTATCAACAGTCAATTATAGAGNATTTCATACTTCAAAATATTAATTAATCTGAGAACATATATTACATATAATGAGAATATTGCAAGTTTTAATGTGTTACATAAACAATTTATCAGGATAGATCAGTTATTTTCTTCCAAAATGCAGGGAAATTTAAACTGCAACACGCGCGGAAGCAGCAGGTCTTTCGCTTCCACCCTCCCCTGGGTTAACTGGCTGACTCAATGTCAATGTTGTCTGTAAGTGAGCTATCCGTTATGGTATGCTACTAGCGTCGTGCTTCCAGCAATGTTGCCAGATGTAAGGTATTGCAGTTTGCAGTAGAACAGTCTGTGACCTTGCAGTTAGGCGTGCTTATAGTTTTCAGAGGGTGTTAGCGTGTCACTTATGCACAAGTCAGTGAGACCTCTCTTNTGAAAAAGCATTTTCCTGTTTAAAAGAAAATTATGGTGCATTTTTTGACTTTGTTGCCTTAAAGAGTGAACTTTTAGTAATGTTTTCGGACCCAGATATGGCAAAAGATAGTGTGTATGACTTACATCAATATATGTATGCTCTTCAGTTATCATGCGTTTTCCCGCAAATCTTCAAATTATGTGAGCTAGTATTAACAATACCAGCGACAAGTGCTGCAGATGAACGCTCATTTTCAGCTCTGAAGAGATTAAAAAACTACTTAAGAAATTCGCAGAACCAGGATAGGTTGTCATCACTGGCTTTGATGAACATTGAAAAGTCCTTCCTAAACAAACTGCAGTCCAAACCCAGCTTTCTAGATGAGGTTATTGATCTGTTTGCCAAGAAAAACAGAAGAATCGAGCTGAATTATAAACAATAAAGTAAGCATTAATTATATTCCAGGTTCACAACCCTGTCATTTGATGGCTATAAAATTGTGTTGATAATTATGTGTTATTTTAATATATTAGCTTAAATATACAATACATATTAAACTATTAGTTGTTTTCTTTTAAATAGAAGATAGAAACTATAGGGTATGTAGAAAAAATTTATATACACGTATATAAAGTTGCTTCCCTGCTTTCGGTAGTCATGCTACGCCACTGTTCTGCAGTCACATCTTATTTGGGAAATCCGTATGCTCTGACTTCTAGCACACCTAAATGCTTCTTTTAAGTAATCAGTTAACTATTATAACACCAGATGGTGCTGATTCTTAGGCACATGCAGCCAGTATCAACAGTCAATTATAGAGGATTACATCAAATGATTCATTCCATTTCAAAACACTATATTTTCCAAAATAATACACATTCAAATATGATTCAGACATGAAAATAAACGCAAACTCACCAAGTTTGCATTGTGATACACCAGTTGGCAGCATGAGTGCACTGCCTCACAAAATGGCGACAAAGCTGGAAAAGAGTTTCTTTGTTTTGGAATATGCGAGATGTTCGCCTGTTACTGCAGTGCGGCGTGCATTCAGAGCAGAGCACAGAAAAGAACCACCGTGTAAACAGAGCATTCTGCGGTGGTATCGGCAGTTTAAGGATACTGGTTGTCTGTGTAAACGGAAAAGCACGGGGCGACCAATATGGTGTTTATATCAGGCCGCGCCATAGCTCAAGCGGTCAGTCGCTGATTTCCCATCGCGGCGGCCCGGGTTCGATCCCGGGTCTGGTCAAGTGGGATTTGTGGTGGAAAAAGTGGGGCTGAGGCAGGTTTTCTCCGAGTACTTCGGTTTCCCCTGCCAATCTTCATTCCACCAATTGCTCCACAATCACCCTCACCTATTATCTGGGGCTGGTACAATAGGCCAGAAGTGACCGCAGTACAAGGGACTTAGTCCCAGCTCTCTAGCAATAAAAGAAACCATGTATATTACTCATATAATGAATAAATTGATTCTAAAATGAACACAGAATATGGCTGAATATGATCACATATTTTATTCTGTAACTGATATGAATCATATCAATATAATGAATAAATTGATTCTGTGTTCATTTTACAATCATTTTATTCATTATACAACCATGTTAGGTGGGTCCCTGTCACCACGGCATGACGCGTCCTCAGGTTGCGGGTGGAGGAGACGCCCTCTAGTTTTGGAGAAAAGCTGCGAATATATTGAATAAGCAGTCGCGGACAGCCGACAAGGGGTGGCCCTCCAGCTTGGAGCTTGGGCTTGGGGCTAACAACTCCTCACCGTAAAAAATAACTTTGTTACGAAAATGCACACAAAGCCTCGGACCTGGACGGATCCTCTGGATAAACGACCTAAGCTAAAGAAATCAGGGTAGGGTCCAGTGGAGGGCCCTTGTGAACACGGTAATGAACCTTCGGGTTCCATAAAATGCAGGGAAATTCTTGAGTAGCTGCAGATTTGGCTTCTCCTCAAGAAGGGCTCAGCTCCATAAGTAAGTAAGCAAGTAAGTAATTGATGTGAATGAATATATAAGGCACTTATGTAGATCACTGTCTGAGCATCTGTAGTTATTCTTTCAGAGTAAACACAACATTTCCCATTATTTTTAATCTTAACGCAGTATCCATAATGTGGGAATATCATGGAGCAATTTATTTGTAAATATTACGTCATTTTATGTTGTAAACTTAGATTTCAAACATTTTTTAAGAAATGAGAATAATATTATTGATTTATCTTTCAGGATGAAGTATCGAAAGATATTGAACTGGTGAAGGCTGAAGGACAAACATGTGAAACTCTACTAGAGAACTGTGTTGATGTTGTACTGAGAATAAAAGGGGAACTTGAATTTATTAAGAAGCCAGTTCATTCGTTACTCCTTGAAGTAGAGGTAAGATATAACGGTTTTATATATATAGACATTGTCATGTTTTACTCAACGAGCAATCCGATCGTTCGAAATTGGACATTTCAGTGTGCCGGAAGTATTGCTATAGAATTGGTTTTGTTAAGGAGTATAATAGTAGTTCTTGATATAAGGTACTCGCACATATATGCTCCGTAGATAATCATTGGTAGTATCAGTGCTAGATTTATTTTTACATACGTATTGGTAACTATCCGGAAGAAACAAACGAATTTGATTCATGAAGGGTACATTCAATAATTTGTGCCAAAATTATTTATAATTTAATAACCAGATCACTCGAAGTCAGTGAAAAATATTTGCATTGTTTAAATATCAAGTTTCGTTTAAAGATTTAGAACAACAAATTTTCTTGACTACGGGCGCTTTCAAGGACAATAGCAAAATTTCTAGTTGAGGTAATGTTTGTATTTTCCAAATGTACACACAAAATTTGCAGATATAATTAGTGAGATTAATACAGAAATTTGTAACGTTTGGCTATTATGAATAATCCTTTGTCATCAAACCAATTATCAATGTGCACTTCATATAGTCGTAATGTCGTTACTGTTCGTTTTAAGTTTTATAACCCTACACATAATCGGCAGGACTCCTTTCACGGGGGATCAGCCCGACCGACACACAGAATAAACGCACACAGACATCCATACCCTGAGTGGGATTGGAACCCACGATCCCAGTGTTCGAGTGGGGAACGACAGTTCATGACTTATACAGTGCAGCCACTGCGATCGACAAGTTAATACGCTGACTGGCATTAATGCATTATATTTAAAAGTTACAAATCCCCACGGCTAGCATATTTATAATCAAAAGTTTTTTTTATTCCTGGAACATTTTTTTTACAGTGTTTACAAATCAAAGAAGTAATGCTTAGGTAGAGAATACTAGCAGAATTTTGAATTAAGCTATTTAATTGTAAATTTGTTAGTTACACCTACTCGTGTATTGAAGTTGAAGGCTATAAAGAAACTTGAACATCTCAGTTCATTTCTTGATATTTTTGTCTTTTGTTAATAATCTGCACCAGCTAGCATCCCCTTACGTTGTACCCACTGCACTGTTACAATGTCGTGTGCCGGACTGAAGTGACTACCTAAGAGCTAGATTGCCGGAGTTTACTGAACGTCACAGTGTCTTAATCTGCTCTAGGGACCACCCAGTCTCCTGTCCAATTAATAGAGAGGTAAAATCTGCCTGACTATGAAGGTGACACTGACTTCCATTCAATAGAATCTTTAAGAATGCGTTCAGTTTATCGCTACCCTTCGGGGCGCGATCCTTAGGAAAAACTTTACCTTTATGTTTACTACTATCACGTGTAGTAGGACTAGAGACGGAGTTTCGATGGGCGAATAGATTTATTAACACCTTATACAGTCAACTAGTACTTAACAAGAAATTCAGCGCTATAGCTGATTTACACAATTTACAGTTCACCGTTACACACGCACTAGGATTCTAACTTTTCACTAGTCGTGTCCTCGTAACGGAATTAAAATAATCTCACTGTTACTAAATCTTCTAATCACACACTAAGTCTTTACAGCTGACTTCTAATTCTTCTTCAACTACTGACTTTCCATGGGTATCCTACCGACAACTTAGTCCCTTATATAGTCGAGGCACGGACCACGAAGCAGAGAAAACAAATGTCACATGTCAGAATACGTGTATATTGGCCCGTTGCACAGCACGTGTCATGGCGCGGGCCACATAGATAAACTCCCTCTAATATCCTTTCTAATGTTGCGTGCATGTATATCGGGCGTTGCCTAGAAACGGGTCTGCATGTTACATTACACAAGTTTTATCAGGATTTCATTGTTGCTATTATTTCTGATGTTATCATCAGGGAAATATGTACAGAAGGTATGTTTTTAAAATATATTATTCATTGTTGGTCTTATCGCTCCTAGGACAAAGGAGGCCACACTGGATATATGAGCTACATCGTGCAAGTGAAAGCAGAGAATAAGGAAATACCTGAAGTGAGACCAGACAAATTAACGGCTGAAATTAATGAGGAGTATTCGGGCGTCATTGACTTCACAGACACGACTATAACAGTTTCAGACAGAGACAGTGTAAGTATCATACCTTCCGCGGTTGTAGGAGAAGTTTCTAGAAATCTGAATGTTGTATTGAGCTTCATCCGCGATTCCACGACACAAAAGTTCTGTTACGGCCAAAAGCCAATGCAAGATTTCTGTGAACATGTTAAGTAAATAATAAAATGATAGAACAGTTACAGAGAGATTGGGTTAGAGGATGTGATAGTCTCTGTAGTTAGGAGAATACATTCGGAAAAGAGAGCTAAAATAAAGAAAAAAATACTGGACGAAATATCTGAACTTCTGAATTCCGAAGGTAAACGCCATACTACACATCAGTAAACCTCAAGCACTCGTATATATATATATATATAATTTATTATACTGCAATTTGGTTTTAGCCCGGTGGCAGTAGTACACAATAGGACACAACAGACAAGTAACACACATTACACTAAGTGACAACACGTTCAAACAAAACACAATACACAAAACACAACAATAAGGACATCCTGCCACAATGAATACATACCAAATACGATTAACTACTACAACAATTACAGAGAAACACAAACAACTGCAACAAATACAACGTCTCTTGCGGACGTGAAGAACAAAACTGTAAAATTTCAAATATTTGTCCGATAATTGAAATTATGTAATGAACTTTTAACCATCAGTAAATTAATATAATAATAAAACAAAACTAACTTCAATGAGCTAAGCCCTACTTAGAAGTCAACAGTTTCTTTAGCTACTCCTGAAATACCCAAGAATGTAAGGTACCCAAAGGTTCATTATCGTGCACAGTGCCAGTGCCAGTGCCAGTGCCAGTGCCAGTGCCAGTCCCTCTCCTGGGCGAAATCAATCCAATCCATATTACCCCATCCCAGCTCTCTCTTATGCATTTTATTATTATACAACCACTCACGTCTTTGTCTTCCTGCTGGTCTCTTTCCTTTTGGCCTTCCCACCAAAATCCTACATGAGTTCCTCTTCTTCCCTATTCGTGCTACATATCCTGGCCATCTCATCTTCCTTTACTTAATTATTCTATTATAATTGACGAAGGGCACAAGTTATGAAGATGCTCAGTAAGCAGCTTTCCCCAGCCTCCCGTCATTTCATCTCTCTTCGGTCAAAATATTCTCCTCAGTACTCTCTCTTGAAACCCCTTCATTCTATGTTCCTCCGTTAATGTCAGAGGCCAAGTTTCACACCCACACAGAAGCACAGGCAAAATTATTGTTTTGTATATTCTAATTTTTATGTTTTTAGACAGTAGACTGGAAGACGGAAGGTTCTGGACTGAATGGTACCAAGCATTTCCCGAATTCAGTCTTCTCTTAATTATATTCTGAATCAAATTTTGATTTGCTATAGTCGTTCATGATATTACAAACCTACCACATTTTCAAACTATCTGTTAGCTGTCTTTATATTATGATTCTGCCCTGCATTCTGATGATGAGACAGTAATATATAGAGTTTTCCCTGCGCTTACTTCTAGACTAGCGTTCTTACTGACGTCATTTAGAGAGTCTGTATTTTTCTTTATGGTATCTACATGTGTATTATCACTCAGTAGACTCACATCGTCAGCATAGCTCAGCAACTGATGTGTGTGTCATTTAATTTCAGTCCCACCTGGTTTTTCTGGACCTTCCTAATGGCATATTCAAAAGCAAATTCGAAAAGCAATGGCGATAAAGCATCTCCTTCTTTAGACCATTTTGGATAGGAGACGTATCAGACAAATGTTTACCTAAACACAATTATTATAGATTTCATTTAAACACATTTTAATCAATCTGGCTAGTTTCATGGGTGCACGAAACTCCATGAGACTATTGTCAATAATTCCCTCCTACCTGAATCATAGACTTTCTTTACGTCTACGAATAGCTGATGAGCTGTGTCATTGTACTCCAAAATTTTCTGAAATATCTGACGATTGCAAAAGATCTGATCAATAGTTCACCTGTTATATCGAAACCCACACTGATGATCTCCAATAATTACATCTATATATCGACTTACCCCTGAGATAAGAATATTGGATACAATTTTGTATGAAGTTCATAGCAGTGATATCCCACAATAATTACTTCAGTAAGTTTTATTACCCATCTTGTGAATTGGTACAATAATAGACTCCCTCCACTGATCAAGTAATTTTTTTCTTATTCGAAATAGAAAATGTGGATCTATACATCCACTCCGTCATACGCGTTCATCGCATATTGCTTAATTAGTTAAACACGGGGACAATTTTACCTTTTTATCCCCATTTATTTCGCTTGGATCTTGTAGCCATTGCAATTTGGATTGTTACATTTGATCTCTTTATTCTGAGCATTCTTCGTCGAACCATGTCATTCAAATCGTATAAACCTAGACTGTATTTGGATGAAATTTTGATATTGTAATAGTTTTCTTTTCCAAAATTTATTAATAACAAACTCAGAACATTGCATGAGAAATTTTAACATCTTATTATTTAATATTAATAATTCTTATAATAATTTTAATAATTCTATTATTTTATTACTTACTTGTATAACTTTCAAGTTTATCCCCAATTCTTTATCTAGTAATGTAAAATCTTTCCAAGATATTGTTCTTCATCGATAAACATTACATGCTAATAAGTTTGATATACATTTTAATACAAATTCTTTGTATACTCTTAATATTTTGAGAAATTGTTACATTCTAACATATGCATAACTTTATAACATGGACGTGTAGCACTAAATATGGATCCATATTTAGGAACTAAATAACTTTAGTTGTACGATCATAATACTGCATGATGATTGTCCCATGAGGACCGAAACATGTAACAGTAGAAAACAAAATTTAATTCTAGTATTGATTGATTGTAAAACCACGTTTTTTGTGTTGACGGAAAATTTATATTGTCGTATATTTGTGACACACAACAGGATGCACGCAATGAAAATACCCATCTCAGCGTGTAAGTTCTCCAAAGCTGCTATCCACTTTAGGGTTTCAATTCGATACTGCTTTTTACCGTCTACTTCTTCTAATTTCTTTACATTCATCTCCTCCATATGAACGTTGTATGTTTTTGTTTACTCACTGCCAGTCTTTCCCTATCTTATGCCACCACCACATAGAGGTCGGTATGAGGATATGCTGCTCTGAACGATCGGACATCAAGTACAATTTAATGCCTTTTTCTATCTATCAAAGTACGGTCAAACTGATTGTGAGTCTTTCTATCAGGAGATGTCCAAATAAATATATGAATATTTTGATGTGGGAACATCGTACTTTTGACAATCAAGATCTTTGGATATGACAAATTTTACTACTCTAATTCAATTATCAATATTAACTTTATATAAACTCTCATTCCCAGTTTTTGTTTAACTTACTTTGGCATTGAAATCTCTTAAAAATTATTCATATCGTATTAGGAAATTTATCGAATACATATTCTACTTCTTCGCAGAATCTATCCTTCATATCATTAATTTTATCCTCTGTTGGGGTGTGGACATTCAGAATAATGATATCACACCAGCAACCTTAGTATTATGCATGACATCCTATCACTAACACACTCTACCCTCTTATGATTCTCTTATGTCCAGGAAAATCAGCACCCAATTCAAGATTCTCATTTCCTTGCCACAGAAAAATGTACTGTCACGTGTGCCGAATATTGGATTCTAGATCGGATGATTGGATTTAGTGGAACTTCGGTTACAGTCCCTCTTAATTACAATCGATACAGCATTATCGCTGATTTACGCACTTTCCAGTTCACCGCTGTATTCACAAGCATTATTCTTCAATGTCCTGATGTAAAGACCAGTCCTGGGTTTAGATTTCTTGAACAAAATATCCTATGACAGAAAAATGCTGTAAATTGATTTGTGTGCTTTACAATATGATCTGAAAATGCAACAGCGATATTAATAAATGTACAAAAATTGGTAAAGTTAAAGCTGCCCATATATCAGGCCGAGGAGGCCCATGGGTTTGTGAGACGTCGAGGCTCCCACATTTTCTAGACAATTGGCTGAGCTATGGGGCGGCAGAAATCATGGGTTAATCTGAAAAAAAATACATACACAAGGATATACTGTGTTTAAACAGCTGTACAACTGGATTCATATTGCGAGAGTGATGGGTGAGGGATGGAATTTTACTTAGAATTGAAATACAATGTGTGTCTTTGAGGTAAGAAACAGACTTGTTCACGTAGTGTAACTTGTGTGCTTAAAGCCCAATCCGAATATAGCAGGAAGGTACAAACTGTACATTGTAGATTAATCTTGAATGAAAGGTTAGAACTTTTACTTACAGATAATAGTACTATGAGTGTTAAACTAAGGGCTGTTATGTAGACAGTGTAAGATAGGTCCAGGAGTGCAGTAAAAGTTAGTCAAAAGTGTTACTGATATGTACACCAAGGTTTTCTAAGTAGCGGTTTACCTAAACGGATTGGGAGACTGAGAGGCCGATGAAAATAAAACAATTACGCATGGTTTTCTATGCATCAAATTTATTTGCACTCTGCTTGATATCATTGGGTCAAAGTACAGTTAAGGGACGTAAGCAATTCAAAGTCATGCTAATTCACTGATGCTGTCATGTGTATCTACGTATGCTTGTGTGTTTCTTAACTTATTTACGGTTTATTTAACAACCCTGTCTGTAGTGCAGACAATATGGCTTCAAGCCGTAGGATGATCAGTGAACAGCGATATGGAGAGGACAGGAGCTCTCGGTGCAGTTTGATTTACTATTCCTGCATTTGCCTCTAGAAACTGTGGGGACCACAGAAAACTTCAGTCAGCACACCTGGTGACCCAGCCGTGATTGGAACCGGACACCCCCCCCCATTCAAAATACAGGTCATAATTGATATGTGTTGTGCCCGTTTGCCCGGCATTGACACGTGTGAATGAAAAAAGCTATCCCTGTAACAAGACGTACAGGCTCATAGGGTTGTGAGACGTCGAGGCGCCCACATTTTCTCTAGACAATCGGCTCACAGATGGTAGTGAGGTTGTCAGTCTTACACGCCGGCCGCTCTTTACCCCCCAGGAAAATTCCCGGTACTCATTTCTGTTAGAGGCTGACTCGACCCCAGGGCCATAGCGCGACTGGAAGGATTAGGTAAATTAAAAAAGTCCACCTCATCAGGACTCGAACCCGCGACCTTCCGACTTGTAACAGTGCCTCAACCAACTACGCTACCGCATGCCGCCGGGCATGTGTGAGTAAATGCGCGAAAGTAAGACTGCATGCATGGATATGGATGATGTGTGTATGTATGTATGTTTATACGTAGTTTAAATGTGTGTGAAAGTGTCGTGTGGAAATATGTTACTAAATCACCTGTCCTCCTGCAGACCGTGTGTTCCATATCCTGAGTAAAACTGAAACTAAATGCATGAAATTTTGCAGGTCGAATACGGACAATTCTACATTACATTGGAAGGCACAGGAACAGATGAATTCTGTTACGAAGCGTTCGATGTGATTCCAAGAGAGGGATACAGAGCAACAGATGTGAAACTCTCCGTGATTAATCCAGAGCGTCTCGACTACGACAAGGGAAACTGCAATGATATAACTCTCAGGGTATGTCTGCGACACGTGTTCCTTCCATCATTGGGAGGAAAGTTTAGGGATGCAACCTCAGGCATATAGCAAACAGGATAATTCGAATTTTTTAGATACAGTGATCAAACAGTAAGAAAGTGTTGTACTTCCGATAACTAAACAGGATTAATGTATTACTGATTACAGTTTTGTAATTAAAAAACTACCAGTATATGCAAGCATTTATTGAATGATAAATAATACCTGAATTTGTAAGTTTTGAGGTTTTCACGGCGATGACTATGACGTTTCTTAGGAACGTCGGCCAAAACGAAGAATACACGGCGCCTAAACCCAGAAGACGACTTTCTTCAATACCTAAATTTGTTTCCAGATCAAGGCAACTGAAATTAATGACAGCACCCGCTCTGGAGAAGCAGAAGTAAACATAAAACTGAAAGACGTCAATGATGAAGCTCCAGTTTTCGTGAGAGAAATATTCTCCTTTGATGTCGATGAGAATGCAGAAATAGGAACATATTTAGGGGATGTGAACGCTAAGGATCTGGACGCCTTCGACAGCATAACGTAAGGAAAATTCGGCCGTAAGTTACAGTAAAACGTGTCTATAGGACCACTCTCGACACTTGAAATTAGGGGCCACTATAGAAATACTGGCTCCTAAAACCTGTCAATAATTTATGTAAAGAATATTGTAACGCATGACACGATTGCATGACTAATAATAATGTGTTCTGGATTTTATGGTTGGATGTATTGCCACTTCCTTGCAATTACAACCAACCATAACAGCCCACAGTCAATGGCTGCTCCATTCCTTACTGGACTACGAGTGTCTTCTCTTTTGCGTGACTGACTTGATTGTGATTTACGAATCGGTCACTCCTTCGGCTTCCATTGTTCTCTGGTTAACACTCCACAGATGAACACTGAACTCTCTTACGACTGAACTACGACTGACTCGTTCTTCTCTGCACAGCTCCTT